TATTACTAGTGAAACCCTCTTGAACACTGAGCGGTCATGGGCTACCTCTGTACAGGGGTTCTAGGTTATCTCCATGTATGGTCCTTGGTTGGAGTATCAGTCTCAGAAAAGAATCCTGTCCCCAGACTTTTGGTTCTGTTGCTCTCCTTGTGGAACTCTTGTTTCCTCCAGGTCTTTGTATCTCCTCCTTCTTTCATAAGATTTCCTGCACTCTGCCCATAGTTTGACTATGAGCCTCAGCATATGTTTTGATACCCAGCTGGGTAGTCTTTCAGAGGCCCTCTGTGATAGGCTCCAGTCCTGTTCCCTGTTTTCTCCCTCTTCCTAAGTCCATCCCATTTGCCTTTCTGAGTGAGGATTGAGCATCTTACCTAGAGTCCTCCTTCTGGCTTAGCTTCTTTAGGTGTAAAGATTTTAGTATATTTATCCTATATTATATGTCTAATATCTGCTTATGAGTGAGTATATTCTGTGTGTGTGTTTCTGCTTTTGGGATATCTCACTCTGGATGATCTTTTCTAGTTCCCACCATTAGCCTGCAAATTTCATGATTTTCTGGTTTTTAATTGCTGAGTAGTATTCCATTGTGTAAATGTACCACAATATCTGTATCCATTCCTCTGTTGAGGGACATCTGGGTTTTGTCTAGGTTCTTGATATTACAAATAAAGCTGCTATGAACATGGTTGAGCAATGTCCTTGTTGTATACTTGAGCATCTTTTGGATATATGCCTAGGAGTGGTATAGCTGGATTTTGTGTTAGTACTATTCCTAGTTGTCTGAAAAAGTGCCAGATTGATTTCCAAAGTGGTTGTACAACTTTATTTTTTAAATGTAAAGTGAAGCATAAAAGTATTAGTTAATGCCAAACTATAGAACTAGATATGATTTATTTGAGATTTTTAGAGCACATGAAAAAGCTTTCACCTGTGCCTACAAGACTTCTTCAGAGACTTATACATCACTTACTAATTTCCATGGGGACCAGCAAACAAAATACTGAGAGCTCAATAAATAACAAGATGCTATTATTATTTAAAGGACCACATGTAAATGTCGAGAAGTTATACCTATTTATCCTCAAAAATAATAGAAAGAAAGAATGCATGGCCAGCTGGTGATGTAAACAGTACCAGAATCAGATGAGAGGCAATTTTTCATTCTAGTTTTCTACTACAATGTGACATCTAGAAGATTAGAATTTGACATTCATCACTGTCTTGTTTGTAACAGCTGACCAACAGGATATCAGATAAATAGATGATCATATGACCTCCTAGAGGCACGTATGGGCACATACATAATCTGCAACCCATTTTTATAGTGTGAAATTTGAATTGATCATATGGTTGATTTTCATCTAAAAAATTCATGTGAGTTAAAAAAATACCTATCCCATGTATAAATATTTCACAATAATATTATTTCACATTATCTCAAAACAGCAATAACTTAAGCACCATATAATTTGAAAGGGCATAGATAAAGAGAATTAATGTTCTGAAATTTTTCAGCCAACCTTGTTAATAATTACTAAATGTAAACTGTGTAAGAATCACTAGGGTTGGTGGAAAACTTCAGCAAAATAAATAACTAAATCAGGGAGGGGCATTCGTGAAGAAGGGGGAGGGGGGGTGGGACCAGGAGAGGAGGAGGGAGGAGGGAGGAAGGATACAAAGTGAATAAAGTGTAATTAATAAAATTAAATTAACTTTAAAAATTAAAAATAAATAACTAAATCAATAGAGCCTGTTGGATAATCATGCTTCCTGCACCTGGGAAAACTACAGTTTTGCTGGAGGGCAAAGTAGGAGGAATCATTCTAGCCCGAGGTGTTACCTCCAGCATGCTTATAACTCTGAGTTGGCTTGCTTGACTTAGGCAAGATGAATTGTCATGAATCTAGGCTGGTCCTCTTTTAGCTGGGAGTACCTGCTGTGGCTGCTCTTGATGCAAGTGAATCCCTGAAAACGGCGATGCTTTAGGTAGCCAAAGGAGACTTTCTCACCTTTCTCTTACCAAAATGGAGTTCATTCATACTGGTGATTTTCTTCTCTTCTAAGTGTCCACCACTTAAGCATGTAGGCTGATGGACTGATGGAAAAATACAATTCAATTACATTATAGAGTTGGAATTAAAAGACCAGGCAGCTTTAACCCACTGAAGCTTGGAAATCAAACAAAACACAATTAAAAATTTAACATAAAATTCCAAAGCCAACAAACAACTTTTAGGTTTTTTTTTTTTTTGGAGGGGGGTTATTTATTTTATTTTTTTTTATTAGTTACATTTTATTAACTCTGTATCCCAGCTTTATCTGCTCCCTCATTCCCTCCCAAACCCTCCCTATATCCCTCATCTCCTCCCTGCCCCTTTCCAAGTCCACTGATTGGGGAGGACCTCATCCCCTTTCATCTGATCCTGTTTTATCAGGTATCTTCAGAACTGGCTACAAAGTCCTTCTCTGTGGCCTAGCAGGACTGCTCCTCCCTTGGGGGGGTGGGGAGGTCAAAGAGCCTGCAACTTTTTAGTTTTTAAAATGTCAAATACAGGGAAATAATTTAAGTTCAGCATGTGATTCAAATTTGGGTTAACCAGTAGCTTAAAGGTTAATAAATTATTATATGAGTGAGATTTCCATAACTACAACCCAGGTTATAAAATATGATTTTCATTTCAGAATGACTATGATATGTACTTAAAAAGAAAACTTCTTGACTTTTGCAGTAAATGGATGGACTGTCCAACATTTCTATGATAGTTAAAGGATGGAAGTTTTTGTTTATTTACAGCCAGAGTCTCTAAACATGACAGACATATGCCCCGTGCACTGTGTCAATTTTCTACATCACAGTGAACGGAAAGTTAAGAAAGCCTTATTAACGTAGAAGATTATTGTTTTATTTTTAGGCAGTTTTGCTCTGTATCGTTGCTAAGGCAGTTTTTCAACCTCGTCTTGCATACCTGAAAAGTTCTTTACGACATGGTGATTTTTAAGACTTTCCTGTCTACCCATCCATTCATCCATGTACACATTCATCCACCCATCAAACCACACAGCCACTTCACAATGAGACTGTTGCCAAACTTCTTCCCTAACATCCTCACACTATTATCGCACTTTAATGTTCATGCTACTGTTTAGTTCCACGCTGAGTTCTTCATAAGCCTCCCTTCTGGTAATCCCAAGTGATGGGAGCTTTGTTGTTCTCACTTTACAGCTGAGACCTAGGTAAAAGTTTCATGTTTTAAAATGTGGCTTGATTTGGCTTTGATTTGTCCATCGTTGCTTCAGCTTTTGAAGTTCTTAGACTTTTAATTGACAGTTCTACATTGATATCAAAGCTAGTGCTACTAGATGGCTGAGGACGTATATGGTCTTGATAATGCACAATATGTCTCATAGTAAATTATGATATACAACAGTTATAGAGGTCCATTTTGAAAGTAATTCAGGGTCACAAGAGACCACAAATTAATAAATGTGTCTTTCCTTTATTGCTGTTGTATTTTGTATGGACATTTTAGATTTATACATTTCCCATTTATGTATTTAAAGAAAAATGGAAGTCAGTTTTTCTCCAGCATAACAATTTTAATTTTAAAATACATGGAAATGTCATTATGATAATGAAAATATGAAATTTGGATCTATGATAGTGCAACAACATATTTTGAGAAATAAAAATCATGAGTGTAATTATGTATAACAAATATTTATCTTCAGATACAATATTTGCATCTTCACAGGTGGCAGGGGACAACTGTGGCTCTTTGTTCTGCTGACGTTGTTGCTTAGATGAAACATTTGGTACTCAAACACCACTCATTTCATGTAATTTCTAATGAGACATTTTTCTCAATGGGAAACTTAAATTAAAATGTGTAAATCTTAATTATTTCCATAAAATTCAGCTTCATTCAAGGGAACATAGAGGTCTAAAATAATATGAACAGGACATAATCTTTTAAAAATTCTATTATATTCATTAATGGTGTTCTGTAACAACTTTATGCCCAAACTCACCATCACGTAAATACACTTTTAATATATTAACATATTTAGAGTGTAGGAGAATATGAAGATGAGCACCTGTGTGCCATGGTGCATGAGTGGAGATCAGAAGACCACTTGGAAAGCCAGCCATGTTCTTCCACCATATAGATTCTGGGACTTGAATCTAGGTCACTGGTCTTCCCAAAGCTCCTTTACTCCTCCTTTACCCACTGAGCCATACCTATGACCCTTACCTTAAACACTATAACTCTCCAGAGCTACATATATCCTAAGGAGTCTGGTAACTAACTGGAAGTTTGGTCTGACAAAATCTTTTTATTTTGTTTTATTTTTATTTTTTTATAATTTATTCAATTTATAACCCAACTATAGGCCCCTACCTCATCTCCTCCCAGTCCCACCCTCCTTACCTTTTCTCTATAATCCCCTTCCCCTAGTCCACTAAAAAGGGGAGTTCTCCTCTACTGCCTTCTGACATTAGCCTATCAAGTCTCATCGGGACTACCTGTATCTTTGTCCTCTGTGACCTGGCAAGGCTACATAGCCCAGGGGAAGTGATCAAAGAGCAGGCAACAGAGTTCATGGCAGATGCAGCCCCTGTTCCCCTTACTCAGGAAGCCACATGGAGACTGAGCTGCCTATGGGCTATACCTGAGCAGGAGGTCTAGGTCCTCTTTATGCATGGTCATCAGTTGGTGCATCAGTCACTTCAGGGACCCTTGGGCTCAAATATTTTAGCTTTGTTGGTCTCCTTGTGGAGTTCCTGTACCCTATGGGTCCTTCAGGAGCCTATCATAGAGGTCTTCTGAATGGCCCCACCCTTCAGGGGATAGAATCATATGCTGAGGCTCACAGCCAAACTTTGGGGAAAGTGCAGGGAGTCTAATGGAAGAAGGGAGGAATAGAAAGTATGACAAAAACCTTAGCGACAAAATTTAACAACCTGACTAAGGGTATGATATGTTGTTGTCAATCTACAGAGAACATTCGTGTCAATGATACCTTCCAAGATGATGAGTACTAATCCTGAAGAAGACCCTTTGGACACTTTTCTGCAGTATATTGAGGATATGGGGATGAAGGCATATGATGGCCTGGTTATTCAAAATGCATCTGACATTGCTCGCGAGAATGATCGCTTGAGAAATGAAACAAATATGGCTTACCTGAAGGAGAAGAATGAGAAACGGCGGAGACAGGAAGAAACAATCAAACGGTAAGTACAAGCACCGCGTTCTATGAGGGATCTACAGACCCTCCCAAGACTGTGTTGCTGACACCTGGCCAAGAAGGGGCTGGTCAGAGTCTTGGTGGAATACATAGTGAAAGGGACACCTGGGCTCTACCAAAAGCTCAGCCGTCCTGGTGACAGATCCTGGCCTTCGTTAACAACAGTTACTTACCTGTGCTTTGTGCATACAGAGGTACAGATAGGATGAGGAGAGAATCCAATTTTCTCCTCACCAAGGCTTGTGTTGAACAGCCACTTGGTAAAAGCACCAGGGAACATAGACACATTTTTTTTTTTAAACAGCCAGCGTTTTATGAGAATGTCCACCTTTAATGGCCTACGTTTATGGTTCTTACCTTAAAATAGAGTTCATCTGCTTCCTACAATATGGGTAAGACCAGCAAATAATTAGATGTGCATGAGCCTCTGAAGGCAGTTGGAATCCTTGGTGTATGGTCCTAAGCAATTTTATGGTGATTACAACTCCTAGTTTGGTACCTAGGGTCCTGAGTTTGTTTAAACGGAATTGCTTTCATGATGTAACACCTACTAGTAACAAACTAAGAGCTCCAGATTGGAATCTTCCAAATAGAGGTTCGGCTCCTAGTGAGTGTACACAAAAGGACATACAACTCTTGCTTTGTTTGTGTTGCTTTGTTGGTTGTTTCCCGGCTGTGTGTGTTTCTGTGTGGTTACACACAGTGCTTTATGGAATCCTGTTTTTACCCTCGAATTGATTTGCCACGTTCAAAAATTCAAAATGTAGAAGATTACTTCTTTCAGTTATCTGCATGACTGGATAGTGATGGGATCTTAACATAGTTCATAAAAGATTTTCCATCTAATACGTTATTCACATACTATCCCCAAAGATTATAATATTAAGGAAAATAAAAATATTTTCTCGAGTGAAATTATTTAGGTTGTAAAGAGGCAAGGCGATGTGGCATGAAACTAGTAATTTAAAGAAAATGTTTTATGTGTTAGAGAAAGATGGAGGGAGGAGAGAAGAGGGATGGAGTTAAGGAGCAGGGAGGGAGAGAGAGAAAGAGATGTTTTAGAAGACTGTTTTGAAAGAATATACTGTTAATAATCCTTTGGATTATTAAAATTTTATTTAGCTTAATTTAAAATTGATTTTTTTTTTGCTAGGGTATTCTAAGTAGCCTTTTTACACTACTTTGACTGTGTATTGTCTCCAACGGACTTTTGCATGTATATGAATGTTTTACTTTAATTTTGAATGTTGAAGATTTAAAAATTCAAAGCAAAGAAGATGGATTACATGACTTCTAGAGAGTTATAGTAGAATAGTTCAAAGTTTTGTAATCTTGCAGTTGTAGATCAACAATTAAATATTTTGTGAACATATAGAATTATTTATGGCAACATCATGTTGGTCTCTCAGACCACCAACAGGTACACATTTGCCCCACTAGCTTCTGTGTTTCATTAACAACCTTCAATAGGTTTCTGCACAAATATCCAAACACAGTGACAACTGAGGTGGCTAAATTTTAAATGCTTTTACTGACATGTGTTTAGAGAGGCATGAAAAAAAAATGGGGTGGCAATCTAAAATCTAAGGCACTCAAGAAGCAAGTGTCTAAAAAGGTGGAGATACATTAAAATCCTGTCACTACATGATGAGTGATGTGTCAAAGATGTGGTTATGTGAACTTGAGCTCATTTTGCTGGACTAAGCAGACTACTTTCTAACACTACATTACAAAGCACAAAAGATAGCTCAGAGCACTTACTAAGCTGAAAAAAGGTGAAAATGGTTTGCATGACCTCCATCTTACACATTAGACTTAAGTCTATCATATCTTGATAATAGAACTTAAAAGCACATATAAATCAACTCTCCTGTTTGGTTCTAATTCACCAGAACTAATGGTGGTTGGTGTGGTAAAATTGGGTAAAATAGCTAAGTCCTGGGCACCATATGAGCAGACTTGGGCATTGAGTACAGAAAATGAATGACAAGGAGCTTCTGGTTGGTCTGCTGTTGGTCGCCCTGTTGCGTATTGTTATTGCTTGAACTAGCAGGATGACATTTTGCCTTAATGAAATGGCAAAGACTGAAAGTGAAGCAAGGTTACAGCAAATAGAAGGGAATGGGAGCTGATTTTGATGTGCAAATGTTGAAAAGCCTTTTACCTGCACAGGTCCGAGATTCTGGGTAGAGGCTTAGATAAAAGACCCAGGATTTTGGGTAGAGACAGAATAAGAGTTCTATACTGTGAGAATGAGAATCACCTTAACCTTCCCACTGGTTTTTAAATCATGAGCATACAAGACAACAAAGACGGCTAGGACTTAAATCTTAAAATGGTCAAAAATCCAGGAATATGCCCCAAAGCATCAAAAAGCTCACAGGCTGAGGACAGTGTAAGGAAGAAGCCAACAGGCTTAGTCAGGGAACCTCAAAGGAGGACTGAGCAATGTTGGAACCACAGCATTAATTCTTGCCCCATAATGGCTGCATGTTTTAGGAATTAAAAGATATAAAATGTGTCTTGCTATTTATAATTCAGTTCTTCCTTATTCAACCCTGCCCAAAATCTTTTTCTGGAATTCTAGTTTAATGTGTAAATATCTTGGAAGTGTAAGAAGCCCATGAGAGCCTAAATTTTGTTGAAATTTCTCCAAATCACTTTTCTTTTCCAAAAGCAAAGCCCATGTGAAGCAAAATGGCAAAAATGTCTTAGGATGTGATTGGGGAGGAGCTTGGAGAGGAAAAAAAAGTGAACTAAGCCAGCCCAGCAATGGTTCTATTGGAGGAGGTGTCTATAAGCTTCCCTCACTGCATTGTGAGGGGATGGCAATCAAACAATCTTTTATAGGTACCATAGCAATTTCCAAAGTTGGTTTTGTTTTGTGCATATAAGGACCAGTGTCATGGGTGTATGACCATTTTCAAATGAGCATAATCTTACTCCAGTGTGTGCTCTTTCAACCCACTTCAACATTCTTAATGAGAAATTACCATTATTTAGAAAGTCTATCAACTATGTTTTATTCAAACAGGCATTTGAGGGTTTTTAGGATACCAGCAGAAACGGAATGCTCATATTTTAAAACTAATACACACACACACACACACACACACACAGACACACACACACACACACACAGACATACACACACACACATTACCTTGCAATTAATATCAAGTAGAAAAAGCTCAACAAAAGATCACCATCTACTTAATTAAAATTACTTCATCTTTCTGCTAAATGCCTTCAAAATATATTCAGTTATTTAATATATGGGATATAAATGCCAGAAATTCTAAAAAGCGGCACATTTGACCTTGAAAAGGCATTGATGATAATTCTCTGTGAAATGCGCCAGTTGCAATTTCAAAAATGTGCAGACTGCCAAAGCATGCTTAAAACATGGAAATAGGATTTCATGCGATTGACTTTCTGGACCACATACTGCTGAAATGCCTTTTGTGCTCAAGCTGGGGAGTTTAACCACGGAGCCCTTAGACAAACAATATTCTCCTGGCTTCCTCTGTGATCTAAGTTGCTTAGGTTTTTTGAGCCCAGTTCCTTATTTTTTAAACTAACTTGAGCCCTTGTCACTCTTAACTTCCTTGTATCTTCTCCTCTATCTGTCATATGGGATTTACTGAAAAGGCTTGCTGGTGAAAAAGAAATACCAAATAAAGGAAAAATGATGTTCTTGGTGCTTCTCTTAACAGTTTTCATTGATATTTAGTAAGAAAGAGAGAAATACTTAAAGAATTGATGGAGAATAAAAACAATTATTTCAGTGGCTCATTGTCTATGCTACTTTGTACAGGCACTGGTAAATAAGATTTATTTTTATTAAGTAGCCCATAAGTAAAATAAGCGTGTGAAACTACCTTTCAACAAGATAGTTCATTCAAGATGGGTTAGAATGTCCTACATGGCTGTTATTAAGGAGAAAGGTGAGGAACCTATTTTGGTGTTCAGTGTATACAATTATAACCAATAAGAAGAAAGGAAATGATGAATGACAGACGACCTGGAGGGTAGTAGCTGAACACACCTTTGAAAAGAGGCTTTCTTTAGAGGCTCTCTGTTTATAAGTAATCCCTTGTTAGGTCATCAAATAAGGACATTCACTGAAGAGCACGAACAATCAAAAAACCATTTTAGACGCCACAGGTACAACGGGGTTCTGGGAATCCTTTTAAGCAAAGTTCTTTATGAATTCCGGTATTGGTCCTCACACCACCCCATTTGGTTGTTTTCAAAACAATGTGAGAAGTACACTCTAAATAAAAGGCGAGAAGAAAATTCTCACATCTCTTCAACTATGATTTTTACTGTATGAACGTTTTTATTTGTTTTCTCTTAATGAAAGAAACGCTGCATTAGCAAAATTTCTGTAAACATTGTGAGTCTGGAAGACAGCTCTTGACTTCTGCAAACCGGTTCTGACACAAAGGACTACTTAGGCTGATTACCAGTACCTCTGTCCCCTGCGGATGCCCTAAGGGGATCTTTATGAGGTTATATTTCCTCTTTAAAAGTGACAGTCAGAAATGGAATTAGATTCCATGTGGCTCCCTTTAAAATGGCAGCTGTATATTGGTGTGCGCTTGACCACTGTGTGGACTTGGGAATCAAAAGACCACTACAGCTTCTCTTGTGCTTTGAGGGAGAAAATGACAATAAAAATAAACACTTTAAATGGACTTTTTAATTTGCTGGTTTGCTACTACCTTAAAAGAAAATAGTTGTGATACTGAATTTATAAATTTGTCCATTTTATTTCCATGGACCCACAGTTACACAGAGAATGCTTCTCAGAGCACTATGGTCAGTTATACAAATAGTTTGGAGTTAGTTTTGGCTTTTGGAATTATACTCACAACATGATTAAAGACTCTGTGGTTGCAGAGAAAATGCATTGACCTGCATTTTGTGAATACTATACCTGCTCAGTGTAGCGTGAGCAGCCCCTCACTCTGGTCTCATATA